TAATTATTTAAGGAGTGTCTACATCCTTTATGTTGTAAGGAATATTTGTCTTTGCTTAAGACTAACATCAAGATGAACATCATGTAATGAATTTGGATAAGAATGATGGCTCACCTTTCACCTTAAGCTTAACATGATACCTTCCCCCACGAACTTTATTATGGCCAGCTCAAAAGTTAATAGTTATTAAGTGTTGGCATCTATCAATATTTATTAAAGTAATGTACAATAAAATGTTAATTCATTTTTTAAAGTTGTTGAGCAGTCTCGGATGGAAAATTGAAATCTAACCCACAATTATTCAATTATTTGACGGAACGGGATTTGTATGTTTTGCTTTACTACAAACTATAAAGGCAATAAGCAAGTATTTATTCTTTTAAATATTTTGAATGAAATATAATAAAGAAATAATTGATTATTTTTTATGAAAGGATAGATGTTTTGCTTATAATTCATCTTTAATTTGTATGTATTTGATGGAAATATAATAAAAACGTTGCTTCATATTCTAAAGAAATAATATATACTACATTTAAATGAAAATATATATATTTAATTTTATGATACTTAAATTAATATTAATTAATTTTAAAATTTTAATTATAGTTTTTTAAATATTTAAGTTTATTAAAATATTTATTAATCATTAATTTTTAATTAATATTTAATTTATTAATTAATGTCTAATTTATTAATTAATGTTTAATTTATTTACATTATAGCTAATTTTAATTTTGTATTTTTAATTAATGTTTAATTTATTTATATTATAACTAATTTTAATTTTGTATTTTAAATTATATTTTAAAGCAAGAAGTAAATAATTTATTCTCTAATTATATTCGATTGGTTAGGAGTTAATAACAAAAATTTATATTATGGACACTCTTAAAAGGGTAGTCCAGGTGTTTAGTTTGATATTTACTCTACTTGTTATGACACTTTTATTGTCTCTTTCTTGTATAAGGGTAGTTCTTGTGGAGTCGTAATGTTTTCAGTTGGTGCAGAGGAGTGTTATTTTTAGGTTCTAAGAAAAATATCCTCCGAATTGATTTGTGTTCGGGTTGATTAAGAAGGTTGAATTTAAACTTTTGACTTTGTTTTAGAGTGATTCTTGACCACGCTCTATTTCTTTCGGGATTAGATTTCAAACGCTTTTTTCTATTTTTATAATTCCTAAACTTATTGTGGATGAGAATGGGACCTACGATCAAGGGAGGATGATTGGAAATCTTAGAAAGTGTAGATCCTTTTTCGTTCATGAAAAATCTCTAGTTGTGCGGTTCTTCTATGCTCTTAAAGAGGTTAAATTTAATGCGTAGGTGGACAGGTGGATTTCGAGACATGTTAGAGATGACTGATTTTTTGTGACATCGGCTTATTAAGTTTTAATAGGTCTTCGCCCCTTCCTAAGAATAATTTGATGCGTGTTTGAGTTCTTTTTCTCTTTAGAGTCTACACCTAAATTTAAGGGTAAGTTTATTATGGTTTGACATGCAATGATTTTCACTATCAGGTATGTGCACAATGATAAGTTTTTATTGGTTTGTCAACAAATACAAAATATGTCGAGGATAAAAGTACTTTTTCTAACCTAGAATTGGTTTGTTAACAGAGCCCCTTGAACTCTCTCTTCTTCGCTGATTGACTTTAGAATCATGTTCTGTGTGTGAATCAATATCGACTCAAGATTGTCGATCCTATCCTTTGGTGTTCAATGGCTTCTTGATATTTTGAAGATTTGATGTTTGTGCTCTATCTTAGTCAATGTTAGTTGTTGGTTGAATGTTTGTTTTAGTTGTTGGTGCTTTTCTTTTTAGATTTTTTTTTTGCCGTTCTTTCTGATTTATTTAGTGTTATCTCATTTCATTTTTGTTTTCATTATAATGTTTGTTTGTTTATTTGTTTGTTATTTGTTTATTTTTCTTTTCTAACACTCTTTGGATAAGAAGACTTAATTGTTCTCTTTTTAGAGTCTTTTTTCCTTCTTTATTTATATATTATTTGATCATCATAAAAAAATAAGATGTAATAAATGTCAGACGCACATCAAATTATCTTTAATATCTATCATTTATATCGGAGATCTATCTATATGTTTATTTTTTGCACATACTACAGTTTTCTAGGGTGGAAAAACGGGCTTGATCTTTTGGACATTGCTCATTTTACTTGTATTTTAATGTGGCATGGGTCAAAATTTTAGACATGCACCCTCTAATGTGTATGTCTAACTTTTTTTGCGATCTTTTGTGGGTGCAGACACTACGATAAATTTTTGCATTTTAAGTTTAAAATGTGCAGTATCTGCGGATTTATCTCGTCCCGCTCTCACTTTTGAGTGGAACAAGCCAAATTTTCAGGACCGCACACATAACTATGTCTGTCCCGTCCAATTTTCTGAAATTTTTGCAGAACGAGTATAAATGAAATGTGTATACCTATTTACCACCCTAATTTTTTGAAAATTTATCCTGCTACCCCCGTCAATTTTCTTTAATACCCATATTATATTTGACAAAATTTAACTAAAAAGGACGGTAGAATAAATCAAACTTTCAATACAAATAAAAAAATCCGATTGAGTATTTAAAAAGTTTGGCGTACATTTTTATCGATTTTTAGAAAAATGAATTTAATACTATTAGTTTTTTTTATATATAAATTTAGTATATTTTACAATTTTACTGATTTTCAAAAAAATTGATAAGTCAAAAAAACGCTCTCGTATTTTTCTAAAAATTCAATATTTTTGTAATCTTCTAACATATTTGAAAACCAATAAAAAACTATATTTGATAAAATTATAATTTTATTAAGGATGTTAATGGGACAGAATAGGGACAGAAAATAGATTCTCATCTCAATCTCTGCATTTTAATTTATTCTTTATTCCTGTATCAAATCTCTGCCACGGAGAAATTTTGTCCTCGTCTCCATCTCCACGGATCTCCACAGATTCTACGAATATCTATAAGCATAAATTTTTTATTTTTTATTTTAAATTAAATTAATAGAAAAAATTTAAAAATTAACCACAAAAACTTAATAAATTAATCATCTACCACAAATATATTATTTTAATAATATTTGGTCATGAACACAATTTTCAAACTTTAAAAAAATTAAAATAATCATTTAGATCTCTCTCTTTTACTAACCTTACATATTTATTTTATATTTGTTTATAAAACAAGTTATTTGAATTTATAAAGAAACCTATATAAAATTATTAAATTATATATTAATTAACGATAATATGAAATTCTAGTGCGGAACGGGAACTCCAAAAGACGAAGATATGCTCGTCATTCCCATCTTCAAATTTTCTTCGGGCGGAGATATATTCGTCATCTTCATTTCAAAGTTCTTTCAGGAGAATTTTATTCTCCCATCTCCGTCTTTATGGAGGAAAATTTCTCATCTTTTTGCAAATTGACATCCCTAAATTTTATATTAGATTTTTTTGCAAAATATATAATTTTGGGTTTTTTTAAAAATTAGGTATAAAATCATAGATTCTTAAAAAAAATATATGATTTCACACTTGGTTTTTTAAAAACATTTTTACATTTATTTTTTAAAAATTCAGTAAAAACTCATAGATCCTATCCCCTAAATCCTATAAAAACTAGGACTCAAAAGATCTAATAAAATTTCAAAAGAAATTCAAAAATCCGATAAGCACAAAATTAACGTAAAGTTTACTAAGAATATTAAGGTAAAAACACTATTTCAGTAAGGTAAAAACACTATTTCAGGTGGTGCAGGTTAAATTTGGAGGTCGCATAATAAATTCTTATAGTTTTTCATTGAAAATTTTACTTTTAATGAATACTATTTTTTTGCTGAAATAAACTTACAAAATATGATGGGTTGTTACCCAAAGAAGTTGTCCCATGTGAGAGAATGCATACCGAAGAAATGTTTTAGTTTCCTAGAAGTTGCTGAAATTGAATGCTTAGAGTACCAAACATTAGAGTACCAAACATAAAACATAAAGTTGAAATCTACCATGAAACATTTAGTGCCAACTGCTAACATGTGGTGGAATTTAAACAAATCACAATTATCTTGCAGTACTGTTGCATAAAAGAATCTGAACAACCAGCTGTTTTCTGTAATCTACATTTGACAACACTACTGGTTAAACACATTAGATTAAACATAGTATTAGAGAATTTTCATTACTATCACAATAATGAATTACACAGAATTACTTGTTCTTCATTTCTTCAGGCCCTATGTGCTATCAAAAATCAAATGCAAGAAGACATGAGAGAAATCAAATATAGAAATATATCGAAGGCACAAAAACAACAAACCACACTATATAAATTTCAATTGTCAATAGTATTTTGTTAATCCCTTGAAGGAATCATATCATTACACTAAATATTTACATTCCCTTGATGAGAAACACACTCTTCACCAGGAATGAACTACAACATGCATAGGATTACAAACTCAAACCCAATCAGCAAATTCATTTTCCTTTGGGTCATAAAAGCACACTATTGAACAAGTTCAAGGAGCTGAAAACACCATCTGCTTCAGCTCATCACACAATTCCTATAAATAATTAATAAAAACCAACCATATAAAATTCAAAGAGAACTTTGAACCATAATATAACCAAGATTTTGAACCATAGATGATGCGCCGCAATCATGGCAGCAGCTGATGTGGTCTCAACCGGAGTCACATTCACAATACAGATACAGCCGCATCGTGAACTTTAGTTGATATTACAAAGAATCCTCATTCATGATGGCTAATTTGGTCGCGCAGAAGCACATTGCTTACCTTTATTTAAATCGTCTATAACCTAAACCAAAGGCATATATATCATCAACACCACCAACAACAGAACAACTCAAATTTCTCGATCTTGATCAAATTATATATCAAACCCTAAAAACATTGCAAGCAAGCAACAATAAACAAGCTGCAATTGCAAAAAACACGAACTACTAATAAACACATCGAAAAGAATCTCAAGAACTGCAACAATTAGGACACCGAACCAATCCATTTTCGTTGCACTCCAAACATCTCTTCAACAACTCTTCATCCTCATCATAAACCTTCCTACTTCCACTACAATTCCCACACGGCATAAACCTAATATCCCCACAACTCTCACAAACAAACCCAGCTTTCGTCTTGGGAAAACCCTCCAAGATCTTCCCCAATTCACCAACCTCACAAAGCTGCTTCATCACTTCAGCACCACCAACATGATTCCCTCGAATAAAAACCTGCGGAAGCGTCACGTTCTTCATACTCTTCTCCCCCAACACATTCATCAATTCCTTCCTATAACAACAATCCATCGAAACATCTCTTTCATCAACCCAAACCCTAAATCCTCTCAAAATCATCCTAACAGCATAACAATCCTCATACGTTCTTCTAATTCCACGCAAGCTCGTGAAATACAAAACAATCCGATCTTCTGTTCCCGGTAACCAAATAATCGGCGAAGAAGCATCCAACGATTTCGACGCTTTAACCGACGTCGATTCGGTTGATTTTACCGGTTTCCATTTGCTGGAGAAAGGTGACGATTCTTCTTGTGAAGACGGTGTCGCCGGTTCGAACAAACTGCAGAGCTTTTTCACGACGCGGCCGCGAAGCGAGGCGGCGCGGTCGAGGTTTTGGGGTTTTTGCAGCGGTTGTTTTTCTTCGTGCTTACGCGTTGTTAAAGAACGGTTGAACATTGAATACCTAGACGACGACGTATTGGTGTTGTTTTTGAATTCTGCCATCGACTCTGTAAACAATAAATAAATAATTATAAGCAAACTTTATAAATAAATACAAATAAAATTATTATTTATTGTACCTTAGAAAGAGGGACGGAGGGTGAAGATGATTGGGTGAGGCGGCGGAGGATGATGGATGATGGATGATGGTTGGGCTCTGGATATTTTTTTTATATTTTGGAGGATAGTGTTTTGTGGTTTGTTTTTTGTTTGTCCGGTTTTTGTTATTTCGGTTTGTTTTTCAGAGAGAGAGAGGTTGTTCAGGTTTGATGAAAATGAAATGAGTTTGTGGAGAGAGGCTTTTATGTTTTGTTGCTTTTGACCAGAGTGGGAGAGAGAAATATAAGACGTAACCATGAAGCCAAGAATTTGTACGTTTTGGTAAAGGATATTTAAATAGTTAGTTAATTTAAAATATAAATCAGGTTTTTGTTGATTGAAAAACAGATTTTTAGCTGTCAACAAAATCAGATTATTTATTTCTAGTTATTACTACTTTTCCTCACCTAAATAGTTAAAGGCCCCTCTAAGGATAGATGTTAAAGTTATAGAGTTATTGGGCTTAGGCCCTCCTTTTCATCAAAAAGATAAAATAAAATAAAGTATACAAATTAAAAATTGTATTGAATTTTTCTTTTCAAATTTAAAATAAAGTTTTGCAGTTTTAGTCTCTTATGTTTTTTATCCTTTTTTAAAAATTTCGATTTTTTGGTCTCCTAATAAATTTTTATATGGTTTTTTAGTCCTTTCATATTTGTGTATCTAATATAATTATTATATGATTTATAGTATGTGGTGCCACGTCATCAAATAAAACATAGACAAAATATGAAAAAATTAATTATATTTCTTAAAAAAACTTTTAGATGCCCTTAAATATTAAAAACAAGATTAATCAATTTGAAATTAATCACTTAAAAATAAAAAATCTCAACCTTTCACTCTCATTTATTTTTCTCATTTCCATAAATCCTAATTTTGCATCTACCATCATCTTCTTTCTTGAGTTTCTTCCATTCCATCCTATCCAAGTTTAGAGAAACCCTAAATCATCGTCGCCTACATCATCCTCGTCAAACACAATCAATTCTTGGTTATCACAAGTAAGTAGTCGCACGAAATCTCCTTTCATCTGAGATGAATGTAGATGTGGTCTTGATGCATCATTGGTGACAACATGGACTGATGTTAACCTAAGACATCGTTTTTACAAGCGTGAGATGTATGAGGTATTAATGTTCTGTAACGATTCCATTCAAAGTTCAATCTGTGTGTTTTGAAAAATGCTTGAACTTATATTTCTTTTATATTATTTGTAGCTTCAGAGATACAAAAGGTGCAATCATTTTGTTTAGTATGATGAAGAGATGAACCCAAGATCAAAAGAATTGATTTCTTCATTGAATCAAAGATAACGTATAGAAAAGATTAAAATGAATGAAGGCAAGCTCAAATAGGATGAATTGAAGATGAAGATCAAAATTTTAAATATGCACTTGAAGTTTAAATTTGCCATGAGTTTTATGTTTGTTGGTTGGGGATATAAGTATGAAAAAGGTCAAGAAAGGAGGGTGAATAGACTGATCCCCTTTTAAAAAAAATTTGAAAACTTTCAATATGAAAAATTAGAGTTTGGTGAGTGGAAGCTAAAACAACATAACATGAAAGCATATAATCCCATCATTATGGATTCTAGCCAATGTATTTCAATGTTATCACTAAGAGACAGATCAAATAATGACTTGTGCCAACTAGGACAATTCAAGTTTCTTAATTTAAACAATTTAATATCATAACTTAGGCATGTTATTTAACACAATCAACTTAAGCATGATTTAATAAATTCAATGCAACACAGACATATGCTTATACAATAAATCACTAAAAGTGTGATCTAACCTAAATGACATACAAACTATACAATGATTTAACTTCTACAAGCTAACAACAAAATTAAAGAGATATATGGAAGGAAGAAAGTACATTGAGATATATAGTGGTTCGGCAATCGGCCTCACTATGCCTACTTCACTCTTTAATGGTTTGAAACCATTGGGAAAAATAATCAAGTCTTCCATTATTTTCAAGATTTAATTTACAAGTATTTTGATACAACAATTATCATCAACCTAGATGCTAATAGCCATATTGCATTATCCTACACACGAATCCAGTGACAGTTCCTTTTGTTGATGCAGATACTCAACTGCTACATACAATATCCTCAATGATCTTGATCCAATAATCTTGTTATCTATAATAACACGGTCCAAGCTTCCTTTCTGTGGCATTCTTCCCTCGAATATGAAGAAGACTTCTTTGAGCAATTGCCATTAGCCTCAACTAATTGGACCTTCACATGGTTTCACCAAATTCTTCAATAGAGTATAAATACATTCTTCTCTCTTTGTGAACAACACACAACCAAAATCCATGTCCAAGAATTGAATCTTCCAACTGATACACAAAAACATAACTTCAAAGAAAAACATTAGATTCCCTAATGTACATTTTATCTACCTCTCGTACTCAATCTTTAGAGTTGAAGGTCTACAATAATGGTTTTTGACAAAGGTTAAATATGATGAATAGTATCTGAAGAACATCTCACACACAAATAAAATTCATAAGTTCCACATTCTATGAGATTAAACATAAGGTATTGTTGCACCCCAAAATTTTCCCTCCCATATTCTTCAAGAAATTGCCAAGCCAAGTCACAAAATTCCCTAAGGGTTGCACAGTGCAAAGGTCTCCTATACAGTCAAAACTAGGGTTTGGGTTCTGATCAAAGAAATGAAGTTTTCAAAGGCCCAATCAAGTCTCATATGCCTACAAAGATGGTCAAGCATCCTCATATCAAGTTTCAAGGCATTTCAGCTCAAAATTGCACAGTCAAAACCCTAAATTGCACTACAGTCAACTGTAGGGGCAAAATGGTCATTTGACAGTCAAAAGTTCAAATTTTTGGTCAACATATCATTTTGAAGCCACAAACATCATTTGATCAATGCTTGATCATGATTCTCAAAATTTGGCTCAGAAAATCATCAAGATGCAAAAGTTACTATATTTGGACAGCTGAAAAAGTCAACTGAAATTGACCAGGGCATAACTTTCACATGGATTATCAGAAAAATTCCATCCAAAGCTCATTTTGAAGAGAAAGACATTTCCTACAACTCATATTCATACTTCAAGTCCAAGAAATGCTCTCACAAAAAGTTATCAATTTCAACATTATAGGTCATTTTCAAAAGTCAACAAAAAAGGACTTTAAGTCAAAGGCCATAACTTGAGATTGGTAAATAAAAATGACATGGGACCAAAGGAATTGGTTAAAGGACTCAAAGACCTTTCCAAAATGTCCAAGAACATGAGAAAATCTTAAAAATTGAGCAAGTTATGCCTTGTGGAAGTTGGGAAATTTTTGGATATTTTGAAAAGTCAACATTACTTCAAAAGACCTAAAATTGCTAATGGGCCCATTTTTCTTCCATGATCCATCATTCCAAGCATATGCACGACCACTTGGCCCAAAGGGAAGTATTTTCTCATTTTTTATTTATTTATTTGAATTATTATTTATATTAATTCATTTAAATCATTTAAATATGTAGAAAATATAAAACTTGACCTAAAAAATCTTTTCATGCATGTTTTGCCATCAAGATTTCGTGCATAGGCTAATTAGGAAAGATTTGGTTGATTTGAGCATAATTGATACAAAAACCATGTGAAAAAGATTCAAAAAGATCCTTAGAAAATCAATTATCAAAAATCATTATGGCAAGAGATTTGATGGAGTTTTGTTAACCTAATTGCTTCCATACAAATACATAAACCTAAACCTAATGCATAGAGACAAAAAGCTGCGCTCAAAGACCATTAAAAAACTTGGAATTTTCACCAAAAAGTTCAAAACTGTAAACCCCTTTTGAGGTCGATTCAAGGCTCCAGACTTGGTTCAATAGCTTCCTTGGAAACCCCTGACCAGATTCCAATCAAAAGTATCAACGATAGTCCCTTGAAACGCTGTACAGAAGTCACTCTTTTGCCATTTTTTTCATTATCGTGCTTTGCATTTTAGACACTTTCATAACATTTGATTCATGGATTTATATTCCTTATGATGTGCTGATGCTAACCAATGCCTTTAATTGCATTTTTATGCCATACATGCGATTTCACCATGTTAGCTTTCTAGGGTTTGCAGGTTTTTAAATTAGGGGTTTCCACCCAAAGCAAAATTGGACCACCACAGTTCCATTATTGAATTCAGCGCTTTGAGACGAACAAGAGTCAGCCCTCGCGCTCAATTTATGAGCGTTGAGGGGCTAATCGCTATTTTCTTTAAAGCCCTCTAAAACCACGCTCTGAAAACCGTTGCCCAATGTTTTAGTTTCAGGGAAAACGAGGAAGATGACCTCGTGGCAAAGCATGATTCGTTGATTTGAAAATTGGCGCGCGGACCCACTAATATCTTGCTTTTTGTTTACATTATTTATTTGATATTATATATTAAACATAAACGAAGTGGCTCAGTGGCAGGTGTATGTGCTTGTAACATCCAAGACCTGGGTTCGAGTCCCAGGTCTGTATAATATTTCATGTTATTTTTCAATTCAAACTCCTATGCAGCGTCAGTATTGAGGATGCATCATATGCCATCATAATCCAAGCGTACACGCGTCTAATGAATCCAAATCAAAGACTGGGATTGAAGAACACCAGAAACGCAGGTCAACGCGCTGGCACACAAACTGAAAAGGTCAAATGGACCAAAGCTTAATGGGCCAGCATTCTAAGGCCTATACCTCACAATTGGGCCTGAACCCCCCCTGGTTTGCTTTCTCTATATTTTTCTTATTTTATTTTTTATTGTTATTTTATTTTCTTTATTTGTTTAAATTAATTATTTTTCTACAAAATATAAAAAACATCATAAAAAAAAATCAGAAAAAGACAAAAATGTAATAAATATTTTTATTTTAATTATTTTCATAAATAAATGGTATAATTGAATTTAGTATAATTAGGGTTTTTGCAATTTTAATTCTTTTTAATAAATCAAAAAAACATAGAATTAGGTAATTGATAATTTTTCCTTTTAATCTTTTTTCCTTTTTTTACCATAATATTATTTACTTATTTTATTTTCATAATTAAATTGTACATAAATTAACTTAGGTTTAATTTAGGTTATATTTTAATATTTTCATAACAAACTTAAAAACCATTAGAATTAGGGTTAGTTAATTTTAATTAATTCTTTTTTCTGTTAAATCTTAAAAAACATAAAAATACCAAAAACATTCTCTTTTAATTTTTAATTTAATCTTGCAAAAGGGTCCAACGCCCTCGTCCATATTTTTGTTTAATTTCGCATATTTATTTTTATTTCATTCAAATAATTATGTATCTCTCCCGAAGCTTTGTAA